GTACGACATAGTAGTACTCTCTCTCTAGTACGAGAGATAGTACTAACCTAACCAACCACTCGTAACGAACGACGTTCGTTAGTACGACTGCTGTCTCTACGAGGTCTCTCTCTCTCTCTCTCTCTCTCTCTCTCTCTCTCTCTCGATCTCAAAGAGAATGACACCCATAACCCATAATAGGGTGACCAAAAGGTATAGGTATATACGGATATCATTAAAGGTTTCTTTCTAACTCCCTAAGAACCCTTTGTCTTTAACCAAAGACCATAATAACTCCAACCCTTCCATGAAAACATACGAGTGGCAATTTTTTCTATAACCAAACCAAACAACCTCAGAGGCAGGTTATCAATTAAAACTCCAAATCTTGATGTGGGAAAGCTCATCACATACCCATACTAGCCTTCTTTACAAGTCCAAGGAGATTTTCAGTTTAAAATTGAAAGCTGCTACTTGACATCCTTCCAGGAGAGATGCTCCAACAAAGGAAACATACTAAAGCTGATGGACAAAATAAACCTTTCTTGAATAAAACCATAGAACAAGCATGGAATGCATAAGTATCACAGATGATCCAAGCAGATATGGGACAAGTGTCTCAAGGAAAGTATAAAGACATGTAACCTTCTAATCCAGAGCCTAGCTGAAAGTGAATGAATCATTATAGAGTAACCTTTCAGCAGTTCACACACACACACACACACACACCGTAACCTATGTAATAAGTTCTGCAAAGGAACTCGTGCTCAAAATAACAAATCATATAACAGATAAAAAACATGCCCCATCACATGAATTTACATATTGATATGAAAAAAAAAAATCTGAGGTGTTTTTGCTTGTTTCTTTTTCAGGGTTTGAAAGTGGAAGGTTGTGGAAGAGATATTGGACCTTTCTTCTGATCATCAGAGTCTAGTAGCCGTTGAAGTCTCTTCTTTGCACAATACTGACGATCAAAATGCTTGACCTACATATTTCAAAAGAAAAACATGAGAAGAGATAAAATTAATGAAAAATGGACCTAAGAAACCAGCTTTCCACTCACCCCACGCCAAGAAAAAAAAAATCCAGAATAATCTGGATGATAATGGTGAGCAAGACTCAGTTTTCAGAACAAATACATAGGAAAATCATTGAAAACTTAAGAGTAAAATGCAGATAAAGAAACCCAAGAAATACACCAAATAAAATCAAACTTTTTCTCTAATCAACTTAGAGACTGGAAGCAATAACCCAGTTTTAAGCATAATTACAGAGCAAGTCAATAGAAATTTACAGCGACATGGAGATAAATAAACCACCAAAAAACCAAATTAAGAATAAAAAAATCTGGAAAACCCAACTTTTCTCATCCATTTGAAGGAGTGTAAACAATACCTAGTTTTCAGAGTAATTTCAAAGCAAAATTCATAGAAGTTTAAACCCTCTTTTTTGGGCTAAATAAGCTCACACCTAAATTCAGATAAACAAGGTCAGGATTTACCCAAGTGGGTCGACATTGTTTTTCAAAATTAGCCCTAAATTGCTTGCATTGCGCTGGATAGAGAAGACCAACGGATGCGATCTCAGTTGGGTTCTTGCTTGATTCCTTCTCCACACAAGCATAGAAAGCATCACGAGCCTAAACAAAAAAAAAAAACAAGAGAGTAGCAATGGTTATCGATAGGTACTTGGGCAATATGTTAATGTTAGAGAGAGAAGTAAATTCAGAGAAACCCTAGAAAACAAACTGGTGATATCATAGTTAGGTTATAGAACACAGATAACTGGAGCACTGTGTTAGTATTTCAGAAAGAGAGAGAGACCTTATAACAAGCGTTTCTTGCTTTCGAGAGAACGTCAAGGTGGACGGCTTCGGCTTCTTCCCTCTTGGTCCACCACCCCATAACAGTATACACTGCGACTGATTCTTCTCTCTCTAACAATCTTCCTTTGTGCCCTCTCTCAAGGCGTGCTTGTTTTTGTCAGAGTATTCTCTGAGAAAATATGAAAAAGTTCTATGCGTTTACTAGTCTTTCAACAAGAGGTTCCCGCCCATTCATTCGTCAGTTAAGTGCGAACAATCTTTGTTCCCTCTCTCAAGGTGTTTGTTTTTGTCAAAGCATTCTCCGAGGAAATATGAAAAAGTGCCGTGTGTTTACTAATCTTTCAACAAAAGTCCCGTTTATTTATCAGTTTAAGTCCTTAGGGGGTAGGAACTTAAGTTTTCTGTCATTTTTTTTTGGTTGATCACTATTTATTATGCATAATATAAAGAAAAAAATTTATATAAAATTGTAATTTTAAAATATAGAATTACATATGGACCTTTAAAATCTATCGGAAATGTTGTTTTACTATTGAAAAACCCTCTATTTGATCATGTATTAATATAAAAATAAAAAATGTTTATGAGTATCATAAATAGTGCATCTTGCAATACATTATCTAGGCCGTCCATTTTTAAGATTTTTATATGTTTATATATCTCTTTGATTTTAACAATTTTTGGAGTTTAAAATTTTCTAATTAGATATGAAAATAAATTTTAAGATAATCCTATGAATTTTTTATAACAAAATTACATGTAATGATAAAATTTGGAAGTGCGCCTTAATTGGATTGTTTAGAGTTGCAACATTATAGAAACCGCACCCATAATCATGACTAGAATTTATAGAGTAATGATCCTATAGAACCCTCATACACCCAGATCACATGAGACCCCAATTTGCAACCGTTAGATCTCAATGGGCTGTGAAGTTAATAAGAAGGTTACCTAGTAATCCTGTCGGGTGATGACGCAGGAATCAAAAAAATAAAAAACCTCTTCATTTCTCTTTCTCTCTCACATTTCCCAATCCCACTCTTTGTCTCTAGTTTGTACCAGGCACCGTCGTCTTTAATTTCTATCAGCCATGAGCAAGGCAATTTCTCGCCCCAATTTTCTATCTCCTCTAAGCTCCATTAAATTGGGTTTTGATTTTCTAACTAGTTAAAAATGGTAACCATTTAAGAATCTCTCTCTTTCTCTATAGAGCAAGCTTTCTATGTATATATTTCCCCTTACCCATCCGTCTATTCTGAATGGATGGCTAAGATTGCCCCAATCATAATGTAACGTTTTTATACTATTTTTTTTACAAAAAATTTCTATGAACTATTTTGATACTAAATTTTGGTCATCCAATTCTCTATTAAACTCGCACTACCGAAAAATATTAAAAAACTATTTTCAATAAAATAAAATGACCAAAATACCCCTAAAAGCTTCAAGGGGTATTTTGGTCATTATATTTTATCAAAAAATTATTTTTAATATTTTTTTATAGTGTGCCCCAATGAGAAGATGGCATGTACCAAATTTCATATTCATACAATTTGTATAAAAAAAAAACTAAAAATAAAATACTTTGAGACGTCAGATCTAAGAACAAACAGTGAGGGACTCTCTTGATCAAAATTGGACGGCTGGATGGTAAGAGAAGCATAGATTTTTATACTGTAGGGGAAGTATAGAAACCTTTCTTTTCTTTATAATGGATGAGTTTGCCTATAAAAAGTTGATATTTTAAATCTTCTCTCTCCTATGTTGTATATGCTTTGCAATCTTTATGTCTCATTTAAAGCAAATGAAATGTTCTCACTAGAATTGTGAATTTTGGTCTAGAATGATGGGGATGAAAGCCTAGTTGCATATACTCCAACCCTCTAACTGGCCCAAACAGACTCAACCTTCTACCCTTTAAGCTTTCCACTTGCTCTCTATAATTCGAGGGTTTGAATCCATACATGGGACTGGCTTTCCAACTCCGAACTCCTCTTTTGCAACTCTTCTTCTCTCTTCAAAACTCACACATTTCTTCACCTGTACCAATTCATCACATCAGTTTACACATCTTTCTCTCTCTAAAATTGAATATCTAATGAGTCACTCTAATTTCTCATTGATAATCATTGATAAGATCAAGAGAGAGGATTCTAGATTGGGGAGGATGGAGTATATGAATGCATAGGAAGGAAGAAACATTAAGAGACAATAGGAAGGAAGAAACATTAAGAGAGAAGGAGTTCAATAGCTCATACCCACTTGTTCGCCCTTCTTTACACACCAGAGATTTTGACAATGATCATACCACGAACACCTTATAACTCAGAAAAACACGAACAGGGAGTAATGACCCAATACCCCATGAAACACTAAGAGGAAGTAATGACCCAATACCCCATGGAGTAACAGTGAAGAGAACTAAAACAACCCCAACAAGGAGCAAATGCGAGAAAGAGGAGGAAGCCGAGGGGCCGACCAGCAAAGAACAAGTTGAAGCCCAGATATCTACCTCTCTTCTCTTTTGGCCACCAGATTTCTCTATTCCCTTGGTTGTCTTTGCATTTCCTAACCTCCTCGCTCCACTTCCTCAGATTCCATCTCTCTGAATGCATCACTCTGTTGTTTTTAAATTTTTACCTATCCCATCTCTCTCCTTATGTCTCATTTTCTCTCCCTATTCATTGTGCCACCACTTTCTTCTCTCTATTGGTGCAAATTAGCTTGCCTTGTTTTTTTCACTCACACTTTTCTTAGTTGCATGAAGAGAAAATGACACTTTTCTTAGTTGCATGAAGAGATAAAAATGCTAGAGGTAGGAATTAGTTGCATGAAGAAAAACAAATGGTAGAGGTAGGAAGAAAGATGTAGACTTGTTAAAAGAGAAATACGAACACTTGGCCTTTAGAGAGACTGATAATGGGAAAGATAGAAGAAGCTACCTTGTTATAGAAAGCAGCGTACAATGAGAGGTTTCAGAGAGAAATGGGGTTGTGGCAGGTGGGGAGATAGGGGTAGAGCAAGGAGAGGGAGCAAAAGAAAGATGGCAGTTGGAGAGAGGGAAAGAACACATGGATTTGAGATATTAAAAGCATTTCCCTCTTGGAGAGCATGCTTGGGGGTTTTCACTCTTGGAGCGTGTGCTTTACTTAGTCACCAGGTATCATGTCAATTGTTTGGGAGCCCATCGAATCTACCAATTAAGGTTCGGGGTCTCAT